TAGATCTGGTCCTAACCAATGTTGAGGACCTGGTTAGTGGGGTAGAAGTGGAAGGATCATTAGGCACGAGTGATCATGCTCTTCTGAAGTTTTACTATACAGCGGAAAGGAGCAGCCAAGCATACTAGGACTCAATTTCTTGACTTTAAGAAAGCCGACTTCATAAAACTTAGGGAAGTGCTTGGGTGAAATCCCATGGACAGTAATACTAAAAGGAAAGGGAGTTCATGATGGCTGGGAGTTTGTTAAGAGGGAGATAGTAAAAGCACAACGTCAGGCAATACCAATGAGACGGAAACATGGAAGGTTGCCTAAAGAAGCCAGGGTGGCTATCTAAAGAACTTTTAACTGAGTTAAGATTAAAAAAGGATGTGTACAAAAAATGGAAAAGGGGGGAAACCACCAAAGAGGAATTCAAACAAATAGCCAGCACATGTAGACACAAAGTCAGGAAGGCTAAAGCACAGAATGAACTCAGGCTTGCTAGAGAGGTTAAAGCAACAAAAAAGGCTTTTATGGGTATGTCCGTAGCAAAAGGAAGAACAAAAGAAACAGTGGGGTCACTCAGAGGAGAAGATGGTGAAATGCAAACAGGGGACACAGAAAGGGCTGAACTCCTCAATGCCTTCTTTGCCTCAGTCTTCTCCGATAAAGAAAACAATGCCCAACCTGAAGAATTTGGAGCAAATGATTCAGCAAAGGAAACACAGCCCAGATATAACTAAGGAGATAGTACAAGAATACTTGGCTAGTTTAGATGTATTCAAGTCTCCAGGGCCAGATGAAACTGCATCCAAGAGTATTAAAAGAACTGGCAGATGTGATCTCAGAACCACTGGCAGTCATCTTTGAGAATTCCTGGAGAACAGGCAAAAGTCCCGGCAGATTGGAGGAGGGCAAATGTTGTCCCCTATTTTCAAAAAGGGGAAAAGAGAGGACCCAAATAATTACCGCCCAGTCAGTCTGACATCAATACCAGGGAAGATTCTGGAGCAGATCATTAAGCAAACAGTCTGTGAGCACCTAGAAAGGAATGCTGTGATCACCAATAGTCAGCATGGATTTCTGAAAAATAAGTCATGTCAGACTACCTGATCTCGTTTTTTGACAGAATTACAAGCCTGGTAGATGAAGGGAACGCAGTGGATGTAGCCTACCTTGATTTCAGCAAGGCATTTGACAAGGTGCCCCATGATATTCTTGTAAAGAAGCTGGTAAAATGCGGTCTTGACTATGCTACCCACTCAGTGGATTTGTAACTGGCTGACTGACAGAACCCAAAGGGTGCTCATCAATGGTTCCTCTTCATCCTGGAGAAGAGTGACTAGTGGGGTGCCACAGGGTTCTGTCTTGGGCCCGGTCTTATTCAACATCTTTATCAACGACTTGGATGATGGACTCAAGGGCATCCTGATCAAATTTGCAGATGACACCAAACTGGGAGGGGTGGCTAACACCCCAGAGGACAGGATCACACTTCAAAACGACCTTGACAGTTTAGAGAACTGGGCAAAAACAAACAAGATGAATTTTAACAGGGAGAAATGTAAAGTATTGCACTTGGGCAAAAAAATGAGAGGCACAAATACAAAATGGGGGACACCTGGCTTGAGAGCAGTACATGTGAAAAGGATCTAGGAGTCTTGGTTGACCACAAACTTGACATGAGCCAACAGTGTGACGCGGCAGCTAAAAAAGCCAATGCAATTCTGGGCTGCATCAATAGGAGTATAGCATCTAGATCAAGGGAAGTAATAGTGCCACTGTATTCTGCTCTGGTCAGACCTCACCTGGAGTACTGTGTCCAGTTCTGGGCACCACAATTCAAGAAGGACACTGACAAACTGGAACGTGTCCAGAGGAGGGCAACCAAAATGATCAAAGGCCTGGAAACGATGCCTTATGAGGAACGGCTAAGGGAGCTGGGCACGTTTAGCCTGGAGAAGAGGAGGTTAAGGGGTGATATGATAGCCATGTTCAAATATATAAAAGGATGTCACATAGAGGAGGGAGAAAGGTTGTTTTCTGCTGCTCCAGAGAAGCGGACACGGAGCAATGGATCCAAACTACAAGAAAGAAGATTCCACCTAAACATCAGGAAGAACTTCCTGACAGTAAGAGCTGTTCGGCAGTGGAATTTGCTGCCAAGGAGTGTGGTGGAGTCTCCTTCTTTGGAGGTCTTTAAGCAGAGGCTTGACAACCATATGTCAGGAGTGCTCTGATGGTGTTTCCTGCTTGGCAGGGGGTTGGACTCGATGGCCCTTGTGGTCTCTTCCAACTCTATGATTCTATGATTCTATGATTCTATGATCACAGGTGGGCATTTATCCTTACAACCTCTTTGTAGCTAGAAGGGCTCACAGGATCCCCTTCAACTGACCTGGCATTTTTAACCAAAGCATCTTCATCAGCACCTGGCAGGTTTCCCTGCAGTGTCACATGCAATTCACTTCCTTTTAAGAGGGTGTTGCTTCCGCAGGCCTGAAGGCTTGAGGAAACACCCCCTGAGAATGGATTTTTAAAATACGTATCCTGCCTCTCTAAGTGCTTGAGATAGTGCAAGATATAGTAAAATAACATTGAAGGTTATTTTCTTTAAAACCCACAAGAGTACTTAAAACTACCAGCAGCATAAAAGAGAGCTGTGCCAGTCGGTTTTAGCCCAGCCATTCTCTAGCTTGCTGTTTTGGTTGTATTTCTCTGCTGGAAAGTAGGAGGAGTTTGTTCCAACAGCCCCTTCTCTGTACCATCTGAGCAGTTCAAATGAGCAGGCAGTAGGACTCACCTCTTCAATGTTATGGGAGACTGACAGGAAGAGGTTGATCCAAGGTTTCACCTGTGGCTTGATAGCTGAGTTAGTGAGCTCATTCAACCCTTCCTGTGGGGAAGCAGGTGGAGAAAAAGAGAAAACCTCTGTCAATCTACCAACATATTTAAAAAACCAGGTACCAGACACCTGTTCTTAGCCATTGCTGGCCTATGTGTACCAACTTTGTTCAGGAGAGCAGCTCCTGACAAAGGTGCAAATGAAACACAGGACTCCTCTGCCTCCAAAAGACAGAGGGAGATTGCTTGCAGTTGCAGCAACCAAGGAGAGTGACAACACTGGGTAGCAGGCTTATGGCCACACGTATATATGCCTGAGTCTGAGTGACTCCTGCAGTGGAGGAAGGGATTGCCTCCCAACCATGGAGCCACAGCATGGCCACCTGCAATTTGAAGTGGCAAAGTCCTGGGAAGCCCCAGAGACAAGACACAGGTGCTTAAGGATGGGAAGGGGTGTCACAGCAACCTGTCAGGTACTGGCCTGGTCTTATATTGCTCTAGGTATGTGCTGCCCCAGGCAGTCCCACAAAAGGCTTCCCACTCTGCAACATCATAGCCCCTGTTCTGGATTCCACTTTAAGCATCAGCCAAATAAGATGTCTCTCCCTTTACAGTGAAGTTCTCATGCCTCAGAGGCTGAATGCCTCATGCAGGGCCCAGGCTTGTTGATTTCTGGAAATCAGAGGCAGCCTGCTGAGCAAACCACCACTAGGCAATTTTGTAAGACAGTTCTTGGGATTTGTCTGCTGAACGGAGCTAAGAGGCCATGTTCAAACATTGGAAAGCTTACCTGCAACAGATCTCGAAACTTGTTGGACATGGCAGCCATGTCTGAAAGACAGCTGTCAATCTTGGGTTGTGCTTGTTCACCCCCAAACCCCTGGCTAAGCAGCTTGGCACAGTCACTCTGTGTGAAAGCACAAAAGAACCTGAGGTGCAGGAAGAGCCTTGTTTGTTACCAGGAGCAAAGGAGAAACATGACTGGTGATTGTGAGAGAGAACATAGTTAAAGAGAAGTTAAAGAAATGGCCTTTGAAGCTAGACTGGCAAGCAGGAAAGAGTGGGCTCATACATTCGTGTAAATAAACACAGAAGAATCCTCTGCTCACTAACCCTCAGGAAGAAAACAATTGGGGGAGGGGGCTGGCCTTAGAAATAGGTGGGAAGACAGGCTGCCACAACCCCCTGTTTTGTGGGCTCAACACAGTATGCAAAGGGTAACATTTTAAAGGGCGAAGGAAAAAGGCAAGAGCTGAGGTGGGAGAGGACTTCACTGACAGCCTCTACCTCTTCACACCATGCAAACCATCACAGCTAGGGCTAAGCAGGCAGTGGGCAGTTTAAACCCAGTAGCTTATTTTAACAGGCATCTTAGTTTTATTAGTCTGATTTAAGTGTGTTTACCACCCTAAACAGCTGGGATGAGCCAGTTAAAAAGTTTAAGAAAATGAATCAATCTAGATAAAAGCTCCCAACTGCAGAGTTGAGTCAGGCCAACAGGCAGCCTCCCAAGAGCAAAGAGTGCAGACTAACAACGCTAACAACAGATAAGAGAAAGATGCCCTCAAGACCTTTCTTGGTAATCAGTGGTGGAAGGTCTGCTGACAGTACCTCCAGGGTCTTCTTTAGTGTCATGATGTTTTCACTGCAGATCTCCACATTGTTTAATGTCACCTAAAGAATGGGAGGAGGCAGAGAGGAAAGGGGGATCAGAATCTTGTGAAATTTGCTACTGCTGGGAAGATCCTTGCTGTGGGCACAATTAGGATTGGGCACGAAGAAGGACATAGCCAGATGCTCTCTTGAGACTTGCCACTGCTTGCTTGGCTAGTGGGTTAAGACAACCCACCTGTTTGTTTGTTTGGTTGGCTGCCTCCCTCCCTCCGTCCCACCTCTGGACAGAGAATACAGAACACCGTGACCGACCTCACCACTCCCTCTCCATCCTATTCACCTGGATGTAAGTACAACTCTCTTCATTGCAAATACAAAACCTTATAATACTTGACATTCATTCTTGGAGCCCATCACACTGACTTCTACTTGGTGACATCCATCCTTTCTCACCCAGTTGCACTGCTCTGAGACCATAGCTTAATCTTCCAGATCTGGCTAATGCTTAATTATTATTATTATTATTATTAATAATAATAATAATAATAATAATAATAATAGAATTTATATACCGCCCTATACACAGAGGTCTCAGGGCGGTTCATAGAAAAGATCACAATGCTTGCTCCTATTCCTTCCCTATGTCTCCCACCTGTATTGCAGGTGTTTAAAGCTGCACACCCACCAGAAAGGACTGCTTGGCCTCATCTGTACTTTCAATGCCTTTGGTGTCAAACTTGCCCTGCTGAAGGCTGCTGTGCATGATGCTCACTGCGCTGGTCACACCTCTCTGGAAGTCCTGGAATGTGGTGGCTGGGAAACCCATCTTGAGTTTGTTGCACAAGACCTCCCTGGAAAGGGCAAGAGAGGAGATGGTAGTTGCCAAGATGGCCTGTGAGATCTGACCGCTTCCAAGTCACTGTCATACCACGCTGGGCAAAGGGGACAAAGGCAGTGAACTCCTCCAAGGATTTCCTTCCTCCCAATTCTTCCAATCATTGCCTGCCACCCTCCTACTCAGCACCTTTATTTAGAACCAGCTTCTATTTCAGCTGCTCATCAGCACATGGAAGTGACATACACAGTTCTCAAGGGGGCTTAGATAATAAATATTCTGCTCTCTTGCCCAGGAATATTCTCGAGGCACTTGGCCATCCATCCCCAGAGCATCTGTTCACTGCATGCCAATGAAGTGCCCCTAAAGTCACAGCCTTTCTTGTGCGCAATAATGGCCAGGAATCTGGAAGGCTGCAGTATGAAGAAGCCAAGGAATTTTGCATGTCACATTTGCCATTGTGGAACTAGACATGATGTGACCCCTGTGTCAAATTCAGAATTTCACTCTCTGCTCAAAGAAGAAGCTAGCCTGCTCCTCTCTGCTGATCCTCTTGAAGCCTTTCACAAAAAAGAGGCTGGAAGTTGACTACCCTTTCAAAGGGGGAGACAAAAGCTTAGGAATCTTGGAGCAGATACCTACAAGGCAGGTAGGAACCTGCACCTCATGGCGCCATCTGGTGGAGACCAAGGAGGCCAAAAACCTATGTGCTGAAAATCTGTAACCGTAAGTGCTATATTAGGTGAACTGCCTGGACCACCGCAGTCTAGGAGGGCCAAAAAGCTTCACACCACACACCTGAAATCTGACTCCAGCTCCGTGATGGAGTGATTGATCATAGCACAGAGACAGTCAATGCTGGAGCTGGAAAGAGCCCGCCCAATGCACTTCTTCACGATATAGAAGACATCATCCACCATACTGGAGGTCAGCTGACCCTTCTCACATGTGTCCATAGCAACAGCCTGGCAAAGAAATCAACACACATCAATGACTTCCACAGAACACCTATATTGGTGCAGCTGCACTGGCTACCTGCATGTTTCCTGGCCTAATTCAAAGTGCCTGTTTTCACCTATATGATTCAGGACCTCGCTGGAGTCATTGATCTTCATCTGAGCCATTCTCTGGGTGCACTCTTTGAGGGAGATTCAGAGAGAAGGAACAAGGGAGAGCATGGCTTTTCAGCTCTGGTTCCCAGTCTGTGGAAGGCTGTCCCCAGTGAGGTCTGTCTGGCACGGTCAACAACATCCTTCAGGTGCCAGGTTAAAACTTGTCTCTTCTACCAGGGATATGACCTAGTATGACACCTATTTGATTGCATGCTCTTCTTGCTGATGTTTTTGGTTTTTCTGCTGGACTTGATTATAGGTTAGCGGAAAGGTTTTACTGAAATGTATTGCCTTATATGTTATGTCGTTCAACCTTTAGTAAGTCACTTAGAGTAAGACAAGTAAATAAGGAGGGCCAACAAGACTCTTCACAACCTGCAAAGCCAGCTGATCATGAACTGCTCTGGCAGGCAGGTGCGCCCTCCAGACATGGGCCTTCCAGAATTTGCTGTGCCTGAAGAATAGAGGATATTTTTTAATCTATGAAGAGAATTTCAAAGGGGTCTCAAAACCGTAACAGTCTTTTCTGGTGCTCGCAGTATAGGCAATTCAGAAATCCCCAACATTACACCCCACAGGAATTTTCAGAGCTCATTCAATCAGAAGGGCCTCAATCCACTATGATGCACTCAGTACCCTAAGATTCAACTCAATATCCCTCCATCCTGAAAAGGGGGGCAGCTTCCCCTACCTTGTTGACAGTCTCCCTCATGAAATACTCCTCCATGGTAATATAGTAGCCAATCAGCTCCTGCATGGCGCAGCTCAGTAAGCAGTTGTTCAGCAGCTTGTCCAGGCACTTCTGATGCTCTGTGGAGTACAAGCAAAGAAGCAGGCCATGGGCTGCAGTAACAGAACACCAGTCCAGCTCCTTCTTAGCAACTGCAATTTCCTGCACACAACATTCCCCACCCCTGGTAAGTCACCCACCTTGTATTGCAATCAACAGCCTATTTAGGAGGAAAACAAGAACAGGGGAATGATGCTACACAAGACTTGGGCCAGGGGGGGAAATGCACTCAGAATGAATTAGGCAGCAGGTTTTTGGAAGGCTTCCTTAGATCCTGAGGCAGGTGTAGGAGCTATGGACTGGAAGCTCTGACTCTTTCCCAATATCAACACCAAGCAGCTTGTGAGCCATTTCCACACCCTCCTTGGTAACCACAGCCCAAGGGAACACAACCTTCTTGGCAGGAGTGAAGTTGCAGAGGTGAGGGGGTGGGTTGAGCAATTCCTTAGTCCTGCTCTGTACCTTCCTAAAATGTTAATGCCTCTTGCCTGCCTGGATGGAGGCTTGAGACAGAGATGTCTGAGTGTGTGCCTGGAGACATCTTGCGCTGTTTGTTACATGGCTGGAATTCAGCCAGATGTACAAAGGTGAGAGTCATTGTTACTCTGCCCACTTCTATCCCAACCCTACCCACATTGGCACATAAATCTTGGGAAATCCTGCCTGATCCAGAGCCCACAAAGCATGGCCAAGGAATCCTAATAGTGCAATCCTAACCATACCTACTCAGAAGCAAGTCCAACTGAATTCAATGGGGCTTACTCCCAGTAAGCGGAGTTAGTAATGCAGCATAATTTGTTAACTTATTATTTCTGTTGTGAAATCTTGCCCATTACGACAAGTTCATCTGGTAAGCCAAACCAGCCACAAGTCAAAGAGCACCTCCGATTTGGTTTTGTGCAAGGAGCATTTAAGTTTTCACCTTGCTTCACATCCTCTGAAGCCATGGAATCTCCCACCTCAAAGTCGGAGATGATGCGCCGTCTAATGAATCTCAGATACAGCTCACTCCGTGCATTCATCAAGGTAACCTCCGTTAAAATGGGGTCAAGTTCCCTGTGAGAAGAAAAGTGACAGTAAATAGCAGAACCACTGAGAAAGCAGGCATTTCACAACAAGATGAGGTGGTAGAACAAAGTCCTAAGACAGCTCTGGACAGCCAGCAAGCTCATGTTGGAATCCTGAAATTGCCACATGTAAAACAATGCTTCCCGTCAACAAACAAATGTTTGCAGATGTAGAAATGTAGCGCCATGAGCCATTCTGGGACCATAAGGCTGGCTTTGCCATTTCCTGTCATGCCAATGATTTGTGGTTTTTGTTTACCAGTGCCTGTGAAAACCTGTTCCTCATAGCAGAGGAACAAGCTTAAGGGGAGGCCTTGCTGTTCCTGCAAGGAAATTGGTTAATAACTGTGCATTTGGGTTTGGCAGGAACAAGAATCCCTAGACACCTCAGCGTAGTCATCAGCTGGGTGGCTAAAACTTGAGCTTAGCAATGACCAGAGACAAACTCATAAGGTAGGTAAAACTTGCCACAGCAGCTCTGGAGAGTGGGTTTTAAACTGGTGCATGTACACCCCCACCCCCACTCTTCCTTTCCAGAGAGAGATGCAAACCTCTGGCTGCTGCAAATTGCCTTCAATCCTATAAATTCACCCAGCTAATTGAACAACTCAAGCAGAGAAATGTAATACCAGCCAGGACTTAACCTAGATTGGAACAGGGTCCAGTTAATGGCCAGTCTTCAACAGAGCAAACAACTGCCACAACCCTCTTGAGTACCTTCCTGAGAAAGCATTAGCAACCAAGTGGTAGTTGTCATAATCATTTGCTCCAGGGTGTAAGTCACATCATAAGTCCCTGGCCTGCTCATCCTCACCACTTTACATTCTTACCTATTCTAATCCACTCTTCCCCCTTTTCCATTCCAATTTGCAGCTGATATGATCACTCTCTGATGCAAATGGTTCCATCAAACACACAAATACTGTACAACACAATTCCATCTCGTGCAGTCTTCCATTGTGAGACAGGCCAGGGGAGAAAGCAGGTGATCCCCCCTAATCTATGAAAGAGCCTCTGCCTCCTAGTGGACAGATGTCTGGCCTATTGGGTGGTGACAAAGGAGAGCACACTGGATGGCATCACAGAGGGAGAACACACTAGTTTCGTAAGACTGGGCCTGGTCCTTTCCAGGATACCCTTGGACATTTAAGTGCCAGGTCAAACCATAATTTCCCACAATGAAAAGAGTTGTGGCTGAAAAGCAGGAAGGAAAGAGGGGGAGGTTTCGGCCAGTTTACCTTGGCTCAATCTTTTCTGCAACTGAACTCCTCATCATGCTGTTCTGAACATGCTGAAACTGCAAGTGTAAGAAGTAGAGAGCTGTTAGAAATCTCTTTTCTGCTTGTTGACTCCTAAATTACCAGTCTCCTCCCGCTGGAGCAGTAATAAGGCAACAGGTAGAGGGAAGGAGAGCTAAGGATGACCTCTTCATTCCATACCCAAGGGGAATTTACATAGGAGTTAGAGAGAGATCAGAAACAGAAGGGTGCTGACAGAAGCTTTTGAAAGAAGCATTAAAAAGAAAAGAAAAAACACACTAATAAGCAAACCCCAGAAGTATTTGCTATGTTGGACAACAGGAGTCTACAGGGAAATCACCACCAAGCCTTAGAGCATGACTCAGCACACACACTCAGAGAGAGAGAGAGAGAGAGAGAGAGAGAGAGAGAGAGAGAGAAACAGAGACAGCGAGCAAGCTCATTTATTTGCTGGGCCTTGAAGCTCATTGGGTGGCCTTGGACAAGCCAGCTAAACTGACACACAGGAGAGTTGGAAGGCAATGGGTAGCATCATTACCCATTGGTGTACATGGCACATTGCAGAGTTAGTAACTTAGGGACTACAGGAAAAGTCACTCACCTTCTGACATGCCTTGAGTGAGAGGGAAGGGGAGGGGAGGGTGTGGGCTGTGGCTGCAGACATTTGGGGGCACTTTTCTGTGTGGAACCTAAAGATCCTTTAGGCACATCAGCCTGGGTGCACTGGGTGGCCACGCTCTGCCCCGATTCTGCCCCATTTTGCAAATGGGACAGAAACAGTGACAGCCACCACTGGGATGTTGTAAAAACTGAACCAACAGGGATTGAAGGTATACAGCAGGCAGGACGGGGGTGTGGGTGAGAGTAACTGGGGCCACTAGTAATTAGAGCATTTGAGTTCCCTAACCAGCCAAGAGACTAGCCTTCTGCACTGGCATGCCACCACCAGTAAGAGAACACAGGTGACCCCAGCAGCAGCCCACAATGTGAGGTCTGCATGTGCTGTCCCTATTGTTACAAGCCACATAAAGGGCTCTCTTGCACCGGCAAACTCAAGAGAAGCCTCATGGAACTGGCTCAAAGTGGGTTCCTCCATGTCTTCCTCAGGCCACACTGGCAAGTCTCTCACCTGTCTGTGATAGGATCTCTGCTGGATAAACTTGTCCACAACCTTTTCTACCTGTCGATCACATTCTGTCTGTAGGTGCTTAATCAGTGTATAAAGCCTGCCTGGTCCATAGTAGGTCTCCACAATGGGCTGGTGGGTCTCCACAATACGGGCAATCCCTAGAAGAAGAAAAAACAGGTGATATGAGACTGTTGTACAGTGCTCCAGAAAAAGCTGCCACCCCATCCTGTGAGGACAAAAGGATCATTCCAAACAGAAGCCCAAGACTTTCCTTCAACACTTCACTGCTTGTGCAATGCTGTCAAGACAGCATCCTGTTTCTAGTAATATGGGGAAGGGCCACAGCTCAGTGGTAGAGCATCTGCTGGGCATGCAGATGCTTCCAGAGTCAGTCCTTAATGGCATCTCCTAGTAGCTCTGGGAACACGCCCCAACTGAAATCATGAAAAGTCCCTGGCGGTCAGTATAGGCAGTACTGAATTAGATGGACCAATGGTTTGACTTAGCATAAGGCAGATATTCTAAGGTATTCTCAATGGTGGCAGGGGGTTACCTTCAAAAAGTAGGGTCAGCGTGTCTGCAAAGATAGCTGCAGCTCTACGGTCACTCATGTCTGTCTTCATCACCAACTGCAGGTTCTCCTCCGCTTTATTTGCAACCTGAAAAGAATGGAGACTTTTAGCCTATGTTATCCCACAGCCTCAGTCAAAACTCATGCAAGGACAATCCTCCTCGAGGAGCCCTTTTTAAAAAATTAAGATTTTGTTAATCAATCAATCAATCAATCAATCAAATCTTTACAGCAGTCCAAGCTGGTGGCCATCACTTTAACCTGTTGCAGATAGTTCCATAGTTGAATTATGTGCTGCGTGATGGATATGAGGCTGCTTGTAACTGTGCACACATCTACTGTGTTCCATCTTTTTTCTAAACTAAAAAGTCCCAGTTTCTATATGACTGACCCACTAGAACAGAAGCAATGGCTCAACCCCAAGAAGCTCAGAATGCATTTCAGTTGCAAATGAGCAGCAGCTCCCAAGCTACTCTTACCTGTTTGCACAGGTACTCGGAGAATTTACTTAGTCCTTCTTCATGCAAGCCCAGCAGAGGAAATATCTTGAAAAAGCGTTCCACTTGGGGCAGGTCTTCCTGTTTTGTGGCAATGTCAAATTTCTCAGTCACAATCACCTTCAGGCGCTGCTCTGCCTCCTGCAGAAGCTTCAAGTTGGCCTCAATTATGCTGCCTGCCCAGAAAGGAGAGTCTCAATATCATTTCTCTGAAATGGCTCCATACTTAAGGAAGGACCTCCCCTCAGAGGTGGGTCACACATCAATATTATCACTTTAAAAAATGCTCCTTTTTGTTCAGACCTTGGAAGGGCACCGTGATTTGCTTCTGCTGGTTATCTTTTTATTTCATCCCTGTTGACATTTAATCTTACTTTTAATTAGGATTTATGATGGTTCTGTATTTATATACTGTTTATTGTGTTTTTAAAACATGCGTCATGCCCTGCCCTGAGACCCTTGTGTGAACCGCTAGGGTGTTATAAATATGTGAAATAAAAAAAGTGGAATGAAAGTAGTAGAAGTTTAGGCAGCATTTGTTTGTAGTGACGAAGTTGGCTTTTGTTCATTTTTACTAGTAACAACAGAAATCATCACAGAAACACAGAATTGAAAGATGACTCTGGGTGTATTCTGTAAAACCAAATGACACTTAATGTACTTCACAACAATCAGGTGCGTTTTTGGCTATTGTTAATATATTAGAATCCACCCCAAATATTGTTTTTACAGTGTAGGGTGGGATATTAGATACAATTAAATAAACCAATAAACATAATGAATACCTTCCCGGCCCTGCCTGCTGAGCTCAATGACAGATTTGTCCAAAGAAAGGTAGCGATGAATATGCGCAGCAGCCTGTTCATAATCTTCATTCCTCAGGGCTGTCTGGACTCCATCCATGCAGAACTTCAAGTCCAGAATGTCGTCTGCTCTCTGGATGGCTTGATAGAGGCGATTCTGCCAAGAAGGGCCCCAATTAATTCCCCTCCAAAATTGGCAAGGCAGGAGCAGAAGAGGCTAATGGAGACCACAACAGCTGAGGAAGCTACATATGATTTCCCAGCTATGGGTGCTCCGCGCCAATCCCACCAGCCAGATTGCTGCTCTGTGAGCATGCATTCAAGATACGTTAAGCAGGGCCTCCAAGATCCAGCACAGCAGGGAAGAGTTCTCCAGGATGCAACTAGCCTGGCCACAATCACACACATTCGTCTCATCAAGGCTGGGCCAAAGCAGCACACACGCTGCATCAGGATGTCTTTGAAAAACATTTGGAAACTTAAGCTGAAGTTTTGACTGGGGTAAGCTTTTTTGCAGCTTGCTATTGCTATATCAGGTGTCATGGCTTCGAATGACTTCTTCTAAAGTCCTAAACAGCTTGGAGGCAGACCATCTCTTCCCACAAGGATCCTGCCCATCTACACAGGGGAAGCTCTGCTCTCAGCACCGAAAGGGTGCCTGGTGGGAATGTGGGGGACAACCATTGTCATGGCACTGTATGTGAGGCATTCCATGCCCTGGGAGATGAGATGGGCTCCCTTGCTAACAGTTTTCAGATGCCAAGCAATGACATTTTTGTTCCAGTATGCCTACAATGCACCCTTTCCTTGCCTATCCCTGTAGTAACTAATATATTTGAATACCTTAGACCTTGGCCTGTTGTCTCTTCGCTCTTTCCTCTTTCTGTGATCATAACCCACTTTAACTCCAGGTTAAAAGATCCCAACATGTCTCTTGATTATGCATGTGAAGGGATATGCCCATGTAAATGGAGAATATGTGGGAACAGTCGTATTTGAAACAAGTGCATCTGAAACATTTCTGCAACCCTTGACAACTCAAATAAAGACCACATCTCAAAAACAGATGAGTAAAAGGGGACAGCTTTGTATTCTTATTATTTATTGAATTTCTATACTGCCCTACTTATGAAGATCACGCGGTGGTTCACAATATAAAAACACAAAAATACATACCATGATAACAAACCAAAACAATACTCCCACAATATTATTATTACTGTACAGGTATGAAAGGACCAGTGATGGGGGAGGGAAAGAAAAATTCCTCCTTAAATGTCGACAATCACACACAGCCATGTCATGACAACCCAATCGGACTCAAAGCTCAGTATGGCTTTATCTAGTTACCTTGGCAAGGTCGAGCTGTCGGACTTTGCTGCTGACATTCTCAGCCAGATTGCAGGTGAAAGTGATCATTCCAGCTAGCTGCTTCGCATCGCCTTCAATGAGCTGCAGGTTAGGACTGAAAACAAAGAAACAAGGGAAAGTAGGATTTTTCTTTTGGAAAAAACAGCATCCACAAGGGTAATGACAATCGGCCTCACCTTCATCTGGCTCTATTTGTTCCGGCAATGATGCAGCACTGCACATACAGTACTACGACTGCTACTCACCCCATGCGATGAAGGGTAGCCATCTTGCTCTCCATGGAGCTCTGCTGTTCCAGAAGCATCTCCAACTCTTCTTCCACGGCTTTCTGAAAAACAGAAATATAATGCTGCAGGCATAATCAATGCCCAATTTGCAGCATGTCCCTTTCAAGATCAATGGTAACGGCATGACTTAAGAACTCAATGTGACATCAGATCAGAGATCCAAGCAAAAGGTTGCTAATAGGGGTTGGGTACATCACATGCTCTATTCTGCATCAGTTTATCCTTTCCATGAAAGAGGGTATGCTTCCTCTCAAACAACAATGGAGTCCATTACTAGATAAATGGGATATTCATCACTATCATATCCTCCTCCTGGGCTTCCAGAGGCAGATACTGCCCTGGAATGATCCATCAAGGCTCTTTTGTCTCCTTGGGTTCAGGACCTTTGCACACATGACCAATATTTGTTGCACATCACTAGCTCTGATTCTACCAAATCATATGGCACAATCCACATTATGCTGGATTTGGGGTCCCCAACATAACGCCCATGGCCACTCCCTGTGGTGCACTCTGAGGACAACTGCACCTGCCCATGCATGCTTAACACTGTGTGGTTCTGCCAAGCAAACTGCAGGCATTCATGTGCTGTACCCTCTTCCCTTTCTTGGCCCAGAGAAATTCCTCTTTGGAAAGGAAGGTGGGGGATCTGGAGGCTCATGCCTTTCTTTGTCTTGCCGCCTTTTCAGGAAAGAAAAAGGCAGGATCCTGTTACTACTACCTTTAAAGTGATATGGGTGTGTTCCTGGCTGTTTTTATATATATGTTACTTTTACTGGCTTTTATGTTGAGTGGGTTGGAATGTTTTGCCCGTATTTGAGTGGGTGGTGGTGGCAGCAGGCTTAGTGGGACTGTTTTGCCTTCTTTGTGGGGGTGTTCGGATTGCCTGCGTTTGAGGTTGCATACCTTTTGGCTGTTTGTTTTGGTAGGTTTGCTGATACCTCTTTTGCTTGTTTGGGGGGAGGTTGCCTCCCCTTTGACTTGCTTATGATAGTGTTTTCCCTGTAGTTTACTTAGGATGAGATATTTTGTGTATCACTAGTTTTTGGGTCTTTGCAGTGGCCACAACACTTTATTAGATTGCCAAATGTGTCCCAGGCCACAAAAGGTTTGGGACTAGAGTACTGATGGTTGTTACCACATCTATCCAGAAACCGAAACAGACACTTGCTCAGATGCACCCAGGAATTTTAACTGTGGAATATTTGTGGCCCTATGATATGACATTTTAGGTTTTCATCATTCTACCTTGTTTTAAGTTTTGTGAGGGAGAGTCATGAGCATCTATTTAACCCCCCTTTTGCCAACTATGCAGCCCCGACATCATTTGATCACATCTGGTGGGCAACAGGTTGGCGAAAGCTGGTCTCCCATCTTGAAGGAAGGAGAACCTAAGAGGGGTTTGATGGCTCAGGCCAAAGGCAGCCCACAGAGTCCAGCATCCTTTCCTCACCATGGCCAACCAGATGCACCAAAGGGAAACCCACAAACAGGATATGGGTGGGACAGCAACTCTCCCCCTTGAAATACCAGAAACTACTACTATTCAGAAGCATCACTGCCTCTGATCATGGAAGCAGCACATAGCCATCCTGGGTAATAGCCACTGAAAACCTCCTCTTCTTCCACGAATTTGCCCAATACTCTTTTAATGCCCTCTAATTTAGTGCCCACCCCTGCCTCCTGGGGAAGGGAGTTCCACAGTTTAGCTCTGTGCTGCGGGAAGATGGGGCTTTCTTTTGGGGGAAAGGGAGCCTTGCCCGCCGCTTGCTTCCCCGTTCCTAACTCAAAGCGGCGGCGCGGCGGGGCACCCTCGACAGGAGCGAGGTCCGAAGGGATACCGAGGCAGCCTAGGTCCGAAGTGACGGGGGCTGGGAGAGAATATAATCCAAGCCGCACCTCCTCCCCGCACAGGCGGCTGTAGGCGGCCTCCAGCTCCGGCAGGTCAGTGAGCGCCCGGATTTGCTCCATGGATAGCGAGGATGAGGAAACAGAAGGTCCGGAGCCGCCGCCATCGCTCCCTCCCCTCAGGCCTGAACCGGCCGCCGACGCCGCCATGTTGGCCCCGCGTCGTTCTAGAGATAAGAAAATTGAAGAGTCGTGCGGGATTAGCCAGGAAATGGTGCTTCCGGGCTCCTGAGGACGCTTTTTTAATGGTACCCCCCCTCCCGCCCGGGCCCTAAGCGTAAACGGACCACAGTTACTGATCTGTAATTAGATTTCTGCTCCCTCTTTCGCCCAGGAAGCTCACGGCTCTCCTCCCACATTTTATTCTCACAGCCACCCTGCGAGGTAGGCCTACAAGCCGAGAGGCAGCGATTAGCCTAAGGGCAGCCTCTGACTTCCAAGGCTGAGCGGGGGCGTTGAAGCCGTGTCTCCCGCGGTCTCCCCTGGCTCTTGATGGCTGCAACACCTGTTTTACTTCATTTCACTTTGTCTCTCATCGCCTTTCCTCCAAGGGGCTCAAAGCGCTGGACGCAATCTCCATGCTCCACGGGGGCTGCTTTATCCTCACAAAACCCCTGCAAGGAAGACCGGGGCTTGAGAGACGGGGAGATGCCCGAGACCTCCCAAGTCCTGGTCTAACACGATCACCAGGACCCCGCACCGGCTCAGTGCATTTCAGCCCAAGCGTTTCAACATAACAACAATAATTTTATTATTTATACGGCCGCCCATCTGGCTGGGTTTCCCCAGCCACTCTGGGCGGCTTACAGCATATATATATATAAACATCGTCAAACACCAAGCATTAAAAATTTCCCGATACAGGGCTGCCTTCAGATATCTTCTAAAAGAATACAAGCGGAGAATAAAACCCGCGAGGCAACGGAGCACAGGCAGACAAAGGCTGGCAGAATGGATAGATAAGACAGTGAAGCTCCTAGAAAATGGGGAAAGCACAGCGTCTAAAAGTGAATTCGCCTTCCGGCGTCCGTGTATACGTCTACCCAAAGTAGACTATAGCCGACAAATCGTCACATCCGGCAACGAAAATATAGGTGCCCAAGCTATTGCCTGTGTCCCGGGGAGGGGGGGGGAACAACCACCAACAGCGGCGTTTCTATTGCAGAATCAAATGGTGAGATTATTTCCAGAGCAAAACCACATCAGCTCCAGGCTAAAACGGGTGAAGTGGAACAGTTCAAGCCGCGCGGGGGTTGCTTCTGGCACGCCGTGGCCAGCCCAATCGCTCAGTTCCGCGCTACTTACGTGGAAGGACCCAAGGAGCGCGGGAGGCCGCTGAGGCAATGGCGGTGTTTGACTGCGGGCTGTGGAGGAAGTGAAGCAGCGGCAGAATCCGCCGCCATCCGCGCTGCTCCTGCGGTAAACGCTGCCAGATCCCTTTCAGAATTAGGCTGCAACTTCTCTAATCCCCGGCGGGAGGAGGCCATGGCGTATTTGTAGGCTGCTACACGCGCGGTGTTACCGAGGCCCTTGAGTGGACCGTTGCTGGGCGACGCCGGTGCGGGCGGGAAAGAGCTCTGTACAAGCAGGCGGTGAGGGCGCCGCGCTTTTTACACTTCTCTGGACCATTTTGGCCGCATTTTCACTTTGCCCACTGAGGGGAGGGGGCACCTATCAGCAGCGGTAGGACGCGCGCTGCTTTTTCGCAAACCACGAGGGAGTTTTTCGTGCAGAGTTTAAGCTTGACCCGCCATTGTTTTAACCCACATAACTTGCAATACCAAGGCAGGTTTATTGTGGAGGGGGAAGCCGCATTGAGCGGGGTGGCACTTACGTTTGAGTCAACGTGGAGAGGACGGTGCTGCTCTTTATTTGTAAGAGACTTATTTCTCCGCCCATCCTACTGCACGTGTACTCGAAAGTGAATGTGGTCAGGATTCATGCAGCCGTTCAGTCCTGTGCATGTCTACTCAGAAATAAGGCCTGTTAAAATGGTTCTCCCTGATCATGCCATACATCTTTTAAGTTGTCTAATACTTTTTAAAATAACTTTGGTGATCTGGACTTTAGTCCATAAAATATTATATCATAAAAATGTTTTAGTTTTTAACATGCCACAAGATATTTAGTTGTTTTAGCTGCAGCAGATTTAATGACTGCTACTCTGGGAATGTCTGCTCCATTGTAATATGTGAATTTATTAAGTAACAAATTGTAAAAAGTGTTTGTATCCCCTCCAGTGAAACTGCAAGTTGATGTTGATTCATCATTAAAATTAGGAAACAAATATTTTCAGGGTGCCCGTTACTTTCAGTTTTAACACTAGCTTCCTTCATAAGAACATTTTGCTTTGTGGAAAGTTAGGAAGGAAAAACCACCTCGTTGAGGTTTTTCAGTCTGTGAAGTGTTCATATGAACCATCTCTCAAATGGGTTTAACATTCAAGTTTTCTCCACCAATTGGCATTTATGTTAATGTGTGGTCAGAATTGAACAAGTTTAAAAAAGCATGCATAGTGTATTAACTGCTTGGTTTCCTTTTCTCACAGGTGAACTGAGGTGAAGTGATATCAATCGGCACCATGTTTCTTTATAACCTAACTCTGCAGCGAGCCACCGGGATCAGTTACGCCATCCATGGCAACTTTTCAGGTACTCAGTTCTGGCTGAAAGCTTAGATGAAAGGTGAAAGCAAAGTCTGATATTAGACATAGCATGTATTTCTGCTGAAGTTGTATACCTGCAATTTTGCTTAGAATGGCAGAGATACTATTTCAGAATTCTTGTAGAATATGGGATCTCAACTTTGTCATATTTTTCTGGGCCAAATTAAGTTTTCTGAACCTCTTCAGACATCAGGCAGTGGTTAGGCTTGCAACGTTCACTTTTCTCCTTGGCTTATCAAAAGGCAAGGGAGGGCAGGGTTAAGTGGCCACACATCATGTATATGGATAGCAGAGCAATATGCTTTTGAAAAGTAAGCAACTTGTCTGTTGACCTCCAATTCTGATTCAAGATTTGGCATTCTGATTTCTGGTCTGCATCACAATTTCAGAATGACTAATGTGCTCTCTCTGTAAAAAGTGGTCACAACTGAGGTAGGGAAAACAAACCTACAAGGCACTTTTGAACTTGTAAGCAGCAATGGGAGGTTTGATAGAGAAGTGCTGGTGCTTTGGCCATCTTCCTCTTTGGCTGATGATCAGGTTTTTCTTTTCTTTTTAGGTACCAAACAACAAGAAATTGTTGTTTCTCGAGGCAAAATCTTGGAGTTGCTTCGTCCTGATCCGAACACAGGAAAAGTTCATACTTTGCTGACAGTGGAAGTCTTTGGAATCATTCGTTCTCTCATGGCCTTCAGATTAACTGGTGGAACCAAAGACTACATTGTGGTGGGCAGTGATTCAGGTCGCATTGTTATCTTGGAATATCAGCCCTCAAAAAATGTGTTTGAGAAGATTCACCAGGAAACCTTTGGCAAGAGTGGCTGTCGCAGAATTGTTCCTGGACAGTATTTGGCTGTGGATCCTAAGGGGCGAGCTGTCATGATCAGTAAGTTGGGATGGTTGTTTTCAGTGGTAGCTGTATAATACTGTTGAATAACTGAATGGGAGAAATGATTTGGATAAGAAACATTGGTTGGTTTTTCTATCCTTGGTTTAGGTTTTGGAACTGCTCCAATCAAAAGTGCTTTTATTGGCGATCCCAGTGCAACTAGATCTGTGTTGCAAATGGGAACTGAGAAGTTGTGAGTTTCCTTAGGCCATCTAAGTGAGTTTGTGGTTGAGTTGATATTTAGACCAGGGATTCCCAGTTTATACTCTTAGCCACTCCAGCTAGATTTACTCAGCCAATCAGGGTGATTCCATGTTACGAAGAATTTGTTGGAATGTAGTATAATTCAAAATACTTTCCTGCTACCCATTTGGTACTTGATGTGGTTATGTGTATGACTGCAGAAAACTGAACTAGAAACTGAATTAGAAAACTGAACTAGCTAAGTTTGCTTAATGGGGTGTAAGTGGAGCCTTCTGTGGGTGTCAGTTTGAAGAAAAGCACTTGAGCCCTATATATCTGGTGCAACAGTTTTCTCTTCCCTGAAGTGATGATTAGGAATTCATGTCTCTTCTCTGACATAAGACATGGAGACATTTGGATCCAATTCTGATCAGGTTCTCATCATAAATGCCCATTTTCTTTTGCATGCATCATGCCATTTTTTAAAAAGCTGAAATGTAATTTTGGGGTTTGATACAAATCTTAGTAGCTAAAGTGGATCTGTAAAAACATTGAATGTTGAACATGGTTTTCTAATTGTTTACCATCCTGTGATGAGAAAAAAGGTGTCTTCAGGTGAGCCTCCACTGCCATGGTTATAAGAGCGTATGCAGCTACCTTAATGCCACCTTTCCTTTATATGGGGCTGCACTATGACAATGGCAGTTATGGCTCTTGTAGTCCAGAAGAGGATGGGTGTGCGAAACCCAAGTCCTGCTGTTGTTCAACTTCTAATGTTAATCTGGTTTAGTGTTACATCTGAATGCAACTACTGGTTCTTCCAACAGGAAAGTAGCAGGGGAAAACTGCTGTGCCTTGAGAGGGCTGCAAGGCCTGCTTATGCAAGGGTAGGGATTGGGCACCTTAAGCATTAAAGTGCAGACATCTTCTGCTTCTGTATTCCTAATGTTCTCTCTGTCTATCTCTTCATAGGTGCCATTGAGAAGCAGAAGCTAGTGTACATTCTGAACAGGGATGCTGCAGCCCGACTCACAATTTCTTCCCCGTTAGAAGCGCATAAAGCCAACACCTTGGTTTACCATGTAGTTGGAGTAGATGTGGGGTTTGAAAATCCCATGTTTGCCTGTCTGGAAATGGATTATGAGGTATTGAGGAATTCGTCTCTCTGGTGACTCTTCCCTGCTCAACTGTTTGTGTGTCTCTTAAAAAAAATGCAACTAACACCTTGTTGACTCCTTTGTCAACAAAGTCAACTGTCCATCTTCAAGTTCTCCAATATGCTTAGTATGCCCTTCTTATAAATAAGCTGTCTTTCATTGTATTCTCCATAATACAGCAAAATAGAGATTTCTCTGGATGGCGTGGAGGAGGCCTCCAGTGCAACCATGGGTTAGGTCCCCACTATCAGAGTTAGGCAAGTCACATGACTGAGTACATAAACAGATCAGAAGGGCAAGGAGGGAAACAGGCCTTGGTGGGCAAGCAAGCGATTGCGGAGAGCAAGTGCTCTCCAAAGGTGCCCAAGTCCTTGACTTTGGGCTTAGAGCGAACACAGCCTAAGATCAGAGGGCACCTCACCTGAATTTGTACTAGTAGTTTGTTCTTAAGGTAAAGGTAAAGGGACCCCTGACCATTAGGTCCAGTCGTGACCGACTCTGGGGTTGCAGTGCTCATTTCGCTTTATTGGCCGAGGGAGCCAGTGTACAACTTCCGGGTCATGTGGCCAGCATGACTAAGCCGCTTCTGGCGAACCAGAGCAGCGCACGGAAACACCATTTACCTTCCCGCCAGAGCGGTACCTATTTATCTACTTGCACTTTGATGTGCTTTCGAACTGCTAGGTTGGCAGGAGCAGGGACCGCAACCTTCCGATCGGCAAGTCCTAGGCTCTGTGGTTTAACCCAGAGCGCCACCCGAGTCCCTTGTTCTTAGTGGCATATTAATAACAACAACAGTATTACTATTTGTTGTGTATATAGTGTCATTTATGCACCGGTATGATATATTCCTGTAACCGAAGAGATTTCCATTCTAAAACAGACACAGGGAAACAGTAGAGGAATTGGGGAGGCAGGTGGAGAATGTGTGTTTGTTATTTAAGTTATGTCAGCTCTGGATACATGTGGGACAGGCACTGTAAGACAGGAGTTGTATGGATGTCTCTTGAAGTGCTTTGAGGTGTTTTTATTGGTTAGTTTGATTATAAGTTTATATTAGAGGTCTCTGTACTTCCCTTCACCAAAATGGTCACAGGGTGGTTTACAAAGAACAAAACATAATTTTAATTTTTATAAGTAATTCTTATATATTACGTTCCATTGATTTTGTGGCAATAGGGTCAGTTGCTGCACCAGATAAACAGGCAGGTGGCAGACTGAATAATCAGTTTCTGAACTATTGGATATTTAAATTTTTTATTCATGGCAGTTTTTCTTTTGGGACCTTCACTTACAGTGCAGGCAAACCTTTTCAGTCTGCTTTATTACTCTTAATTTTTTCAGTTTATTATGAACATTTATATAGCATTCTTCAGTTGAAATTTCCAGGACAGCTTACGTTAAAAATGCATCTAAAAGTATGTTCTCTTACGAGGCAGAGTATGGCACTAATTTATTGTTGGTACATGTATTGTTTTCCACAGGAAGCTGACAATGACCCCACAGGAGAAGCGGCAGCCAACACCCAGCAAACCTTGACATTTTATGAGTTAGATCTGGGTTTGAACCATGTTGTCAGGAAATACAGTGAACCCTTGGAAGAACATGGCAACTTCCTCATTACAGGTACTGCTACCATTTCCAGTCCTTTTAGGGAAAAGGCATTATCCTAAGATGTCAGAAAGAGAACTGCTTGAGACAAATGCACATTTTCTGTAGGCTCAAGCTATACGGTACTTGATGAATGAAAAGTACATATCCTTGATAGTTGCTTTTGTGCCATGCTTTACAAAAGTGCAACAAGTATTTCCACTCTATGCTCCACATTGGAAACCTAAAGTAGGTTAAAAAGTGGAGACCTCAGAAACCATCAGATTCATAAAAGCTCACCATATGTAACCCTCTCACTCCTGTGCTTTTCTTTGCTACCCTGATGTTTGTCTGCACCTTAGCCCAAACCTTGACATTGTCTTATTGCAGCAGACATTCAAACACGAATACATTACTACCAAGTAGTCTGGCAGCCAGGCCAATACTGGACAGGGCAGGATTGGCAGAGGGGCAGCCAGAGTAGGAGAGCTGGCTTGCCACCCAGTTGGGTCATGCTGTTGAAAGAAACACCGGATATTTGCAAGTCCCTTCTTGCTTTCACTTCCTCTGCTTGAACACAGACTCCTCTTCAGCCTGAAAATGGTGGCAAACGTGCAGTTTTTTCTCAAGTGTACCTTGGGTAAACCAGTTCCACAAGAACCAGACGAAACTATAGCTGCAGCTGCTCTTCTTCAGCTTCTTACAACATGTTTCTTTTATTTGTCAGTCCCTGGAGGTTCTGATGGTCCCAGTGGAGTGCTGATTTGTTCTGAAAACTACATCACCTACAAAAACTTTGGTGACCAACCAGATATCCGATGTCCCATTCCCAGAAGAAGGGTAAGGATCTTGTAGCTTTTTTCACCCTAAAGGAGTATCCCAGTAGCATTCTCTGGGCAGCTGAAAAAATGGTTCACCTTTCAGGTTTGGCCAGAAAACAAAGCATTTGTATGAAGATGAATGCATTATTAACAAAGCTGTGCAGGCTTCATTGAGGTCCTTAGTGAACTTGGGCTTCCATGGAGTGGGGAGTGGGTCTTCCCATGCCACACCTTACTTGTTAACTCCTTTTCCATATCAGCTAGTAAGAGCTGGCAGCAAAAGGTTGACATATGATTTTGCAAAATTCCCAAAATTCTCTCAATGCTCATTATCTTGCTAAGACTTTTAGGGACCGTTAGGAATTGGAATCTATGTAACAATATATCTGAAGAGTCCACAAGGGACTGTGCTGCCTGAGCTAGGCAGGCAGGCCACCATTGCCACCTCCAGCAGCTGTACTGGTAGACTTTGCAATAATTGTGGATGAGGTTGCTCTAGAAAGTTCATACTCCATCACCACTTTGTCATAACTGTGGAAAATACTCTTAAACAGTATTTACTTTCATCACAGCAAAATGGCAGCAACGCATGCACTTTGCAAGGTGATCTTGCCCACTGTGCCTTATTCTGAGCAAGGTGTGAGATAGGCACCAAGGAGAGCATTTGGGTTATCCTTGCTTTATGGGAGGAAGGACCCAGTTGGATGGCTAGTAGTAGTGGCAGCTGGTGATGGAGGCAGGTCATTTGAGGGTAGGGGTGCCTAGTCTTCAGCCTAAGCTATGTGAAGAAGAAGAGTAGAAGAGTTTGGATTTGATATCCCGCCTTTCACTCCCTTTAAGGAGTCTCAAAGCGGCTAACATTCTCCTTTCCCTTCCTCCCGCACAACAAACACTCTGTGAGGTGAGTGGGGCTGAGAGACTTCAGAGAAGTGTGACTGGCCCAAGGTCACCCAGCAGCTGCATGTGGAGGAGCAGAGACGCAAACCTGGGTGTAGAGTGGCTCATTATAGGACCAGCCACAAAAATATTAATTTCCTAGTAGCTGAAACTATTATGATAGAAATTATTACTTAAGTATGGAAGTACTGCTAATTGTAAACTGAAAGTGAAAATGCTGTTGTGGCTTGATGTGATGAGTTGATGTCTCTTCTCTGATGCTTATTGTGGAGATGGCATTTCTTTCTGATCAAGCATTGTTGGTGATTACGTACTTGGTGCTGTGCAGGACACAGAAGACACTGTCTAGAGGTTTTTAAATTGCAAATCTATATTAGACAGAGACATTACTGAGAGAGGGCTGTACCTCCCGTCTGGTGGAGTTGGGGTACAGTCTCCTTTGTTGCTTTAGCTTTCAGGCAGCAACTACAAATGGTCCTCTTTCAGAGGGTGTTTGAGACCCTTGAGCTGCAGTTTTAAGGTTCATGTTTTTGTTCCACTGCAAACCATTGCTTTGTCTGTTCTTTTTGTTGGTAGTTTAATTTTATGTTTTAATGTTTACTTGTAAGGTCTCTTGAGGTGCTTTGACAAGAGTTGGGAGATATTATTACCGTATTTTTCGCTCTATAACACGCAGTTTTTTCCTCCTGGAAAGTAAGGGGAAATGTCTGTGCGTGTTATGGAGCGAATGCCTACAGATGGCAGGGGAATCCGCTGCAGTTGTGAGCAGTCCGTGGCTCTCTTTGAAACTGCAAAGCGGGTGTAAGCGGCTCCTGTCAGCGAGCCGAGCCGGGCAGGAGGGAGAGAAGCAGAGCGGGGTTGGTTGCTTTAAAACAGCCCCGTGCTCTATGTCCCTCTCTCTTCTCCACTGAGCTGCTAAGTAGCAGCAAAGCTTTTCAGCCAGCCTAGCCGGGAGGAGGGAGAGAAGCAGATGGGGCTGGTTGCTTTAAAACAACCCCGTGTCCCTGCCTGCAGTTTTTTGCTGTCCGATTTTGGATCTGCCACTGTAGGGGCTGTGTGTGTGTGTGTGTGTGTGTGTGTGCTTGAGCTATCGTTCTCCTCTTGCTTCCCCTTCACTCTCCCAGCGCCCCTGCTACTTCCAGCGCCCCTGCGACTTTAGGATTGATACTCTCTCTCTGTGTGTGTGTCTCTGTGTGTGTGAGGCATCGTTCTCCTCTTGCTTCCCCTTCACTCTCCCAGCGCCCCTGCGCTCTCCTGCGACTTTAGGATTGATACTGTGTGTGTGAGAGAGAGGGGGGGGATCGTTCTCCTTCTCTTGCTTCCCACTCCCAGCGCCCCTGCCTCTCCTGCGACTTTAGGATTGATACTCTGTGTGTGTGTGTGTGTGTGTGTGTGTGTGTGTGTGTCTGTGTGTGAGAGGGATTGTTCTCCTCCTCCTGCTTCCTGTTCACTCCCCCAGCGCCCCTGCGACTTTAGGGCGACTTTAGCATGGATCCACATGGATCCTCAGGATTTTTGCATTGGGCTACCCCAAACTCACCGTCAGATCACATGTCTGTGGCCACAGCATGAACCACAAAAATCATACATCCACTGTTTTGTTTAGAATATTTTTTTCTTGTTTTCCTCCTCTAAAAACTACGTGCGTGTTATGGTCTGGTGCGTGTTATAGAGCGAAAAATACGGTAATTTAATAAGTAGATCATGTTGGAAATTTATATGTGAGGGTGGGGGGGAGGGAGAGCTGGACCCAGGGATCGTGAGTTTTATAGCTCCTGCAAGGCCCAGCGAAAGAAGCGAGGGAAGTGGCTTGATGGAGGGGTCGGGAGCAGCATTCCAGAAGGGCCCAGGAAGGAGGATTAGCAGGAGAAGAACTTCCCCAGAATGGAAGGAAGCAGTGAGGGAAAGCTGCTATAAAGAGGGGTGATATTTGCAGTAGGGGGGAAGCCATTAACAAAGGTGATTTCTAGCTATGATTCCATTAGGGCAGCTTCTGCCTTTGAGTCTGACTTGCTGTTCCTTCTGGCAGAATGACTTGGATGACCCTGAAAGAGGCATGATTTTTGTCTGCTCTGCTACACACAAGACCAAGTCTATGTTCTTCTTCTTGGCTCAGACTGAGCAGGGTGACATCTTCAAAATCACCTTGGAGACTGATGAGGACATGGTACGTCTCCCGCTGTGTTCATGAATGTTTGTTTGTTTGTGTGTGTGTGTGTGTGTGTGTGAGAGAGAGAGAGAGAGAGAGAGAGAGAGAGAGAGAAATGTTTGCTTGGGGGGGGGGGGAGGGAGAATGGGTGATGTGTGAACTTTCACATCCAGCTCAAGCAGTAACTCATTTGTGGTGGTTTCAGGTAACAGAAATTCGACTCAAGTACTTTGATACAGTTCCTGTTGCTGCTGCCATGTGTGTTCTGAAAACTGGGTTCCTTTTTGTGGCTTCTGAGTTTGGAAACCAGTAAGTGAAATCTCCTACTTTTTTCTGAAGGGTTGCTGAATTTTTATGCTTGGTACTGCTGATGATGTTCTGCAAAGCACACATGCAGTTCTGACTGCCTTTCCTTCTCTAAATCTGGAAATTGTTCAAGTTGTGGCCGAATCTCAGACCCTTGCGACCAACCACAGGTATGGCCTGCCTGGTTGGTTTCATCTTGCTAATTTCATCAAGGAGTGTGTCAATGTCCTGTTTTCAGAATCTTACAGCAAGCATGGGTGTTGTGGGTTATTATGTTGGGATAAAAATTTAGATTTGTTTAGCCAGTGAGGCCCAAACACGTCTATACACATATAGCTCATGGTGTGACATTTTATTCACAGAAAGAGAGAAAGGATCTGGGGCAGAGAGCATATTGTATTGTTTGCCCTTTCTACAGATAGACCAGGGGTAGTCAACCTTTTTATACCTACCGCCCACTAATGCATCTTTCTTGATGGTAAAATTTCCTCACCGCCCACCAGTGCTTGATGGAGGGAGGATTCAGTTTGTGCCGTAGAACCCCCTATTGCCCACCTAGAATCCTGAAACACCCACTAGTGGGCGGTAGGGACCAGGTTGACAACTCCTGAGATAGACAAATAAGGAAGTGAAGATGTGTCTTAAACTTGGCCCCTCATCTACTCCTTTGTCCTCAAAGTGTTTTCTTCAGCAAGCAGCCGTACATCTTGGACATAATTGAAATAGCAAAGCCTGGGGTGGGGAGGAAACGGTCCAGTTTCATCAGAAGTGGCCCTCTTCTCTTTGCAGCTACCTCTATCAGATTGCTCATCTGGGGGATGATGATGAGGAGCCAGAGTTCTCCTCTGCCATGCCGTTGGAGGAAGGAGACACATTCTTTTTCCAGCCTCGGCCTCTCAAGAACTTGGTGCTGGTGGATGAACTGGACAGCCTGTCTCCCATCTTGTGTTGTCAGGTACGCTGTGTGCTTTGTCCCATAGCTTGTGACAAGCTGCTGGGATCTGTGCTGACCTCTGATGCTGGACATTGCATAGCCCACTAGACCTTGAGAATAATTCCAAAAATGGCATAAGTCTCCAAAACTCCTTTAGATCAGAAACGCAAAGCAGGTGAGTTAGTTCTTTGTCATGCTTGTATTTCACTTTTCCTCAGAGTTGCTTAGCGCATCATGCCTGTCCCTCCTCTTCCCACCAATTATTTTCACAGCTGCTACTTTGGGTTGTAAGTTAGGAGGTGATACCCCTATGAGAGAGTGTCTGACTTGGTGGGAGTTGTATCCAGTGCACTGCACTCTTCTGAATTTTGCCACTTTTAATTTTGCACAGGATTTGTTAGGGGCCCAGGACTTAACACTTTATGTGCCCCCAATAGTTTGCAAAGTGGGCTAGCATAATATTTTCTTACTTTGTGTCAGCTGTAGGTCATTTTGCAGCATTTTTACAGAAGTGACTATCTGAAGGGAGGGAATTCTGTCAGGAGAGAGCCCACTCCCAGTGGGAGCAGTCAGAATTTTTTTTTTAAAGGTGAAATTTGGGAGAGGGATGGCTTGAAGGCCACATTTTTTTTTTGCCAATCCTGCATGACAGTGGGAGATCTATGGAAGCAGTAGGTTTTTTTTAAAAAAAGGCCTAAAATATTGGAGGTCTTGAGTGGAAACAAAAACCCTTTGGGGGAGCCACTTGCGGCACCTGATTTATTAAAAGGTAATTTTATACAAAACACCAAAATGTAAATTAATACTTTAAAATACCTCACAAAACTGCAAGCCTTTCAAAAAACCTACATAATTGGCAAACCAAAGTTAATGGACTATGCTGAAATGTAAAACTAACTGGAAAGCTCAGAAATCAAGACAACAAGAAATTTAAAAAAGAATGGGAAATACAATATTACTTATTGCAAAAGTATTGTAAACAGGTTAATACATTGGCAGGATTTTAAAAATACTTGAAATTAAAGAAATAGTACAGGAAATCTGAGGTAAAAAAATTAATTTGGAGTAGAAATGATAATGCAGCTGAAAAGAAAACTAAAGGAACGGGGTGGGAGAGTCATGGGTTCAGAGAATCCCACTTTATGGATTTGATATTGTTTATATATTTTCTTTGTGGTTGTTATTGTGGTGGTGGTGTTGTTTGTTATTTTTGTTGAGAATTTAATGAATATATATATTAAAAAAGCCTAAATATAATTTTGAAGGGAAATCCGAAAAGTTGAAATCTGAAAAACATGGAGTAAAAGGTTGGAAGATGAGCTCTTCCATAAAAGTTTGCTCCAACCGTGAGACTAATTCAGGGGAATATCTTCCCCACTTGATGTCATTTGCCATTAGTTATTAATGCAGATTACCAGTTTATCAAGTGGCAAATGTGGGAACCTTTGCCGCAATCACATATGCAAATGGGAGTAAAATGTTGTAGCTCTATATATGATGCTTTGAAAGTGATAACTGATCTTAATCGAACAACTTGTCACTTTTCCTCTCTTATCCCTGCCTCTTGGCTGCTTTCTGTGCAGATAGCTGATCTGGCTAATGAAGACACCCCTCAGTTATATGTGGCCTGTGGGAGGGGGCCTCGGTCGTCACTGAGGGTCCTTAGACATGGACTTGAGGTAAGAAGGGCAGGACATGAAGGGAAAAGCCATTCTGGATCTTCCTCTTAGGTGAAACCTTTTTTGTTAGATGAGAATGGATTCACTGGTGTATTCTGAAGCTGAGGGACCTTGTGATGGGTGGTGTAGGGCTGCCCTGGATATGTCCTGGTCGACTGCATGCTCTGCAAAAGTTCCTGGGTTCAGCCCCTAGTTGTCTCCTGTTAAAGGATTTGGATGGCAGGGCTGGGATAGGCCTCTTTTTGAAACCATGGAAAGCTGATGCAGTCTGAATGTAGTCAAGATGGAGGATGGAGAGCCAGTGTGGTGGAGTGGTTCAGGTGAGGGCTGGGAACACTCAGCTGTGAATCTCATGGGCTCACACGGGGCTAGGCACTGCATTATGCCTAAACAAAAATCAGAATGTGAGGAGTGTGTGGGGCCATGCTCACCATCCCTGTCTCCTGTCAACTCCTAACATGCTGACCCTACATTGAGTGGGAAGGTTTCAAGGGTAGTTGTAAGCCTCCTTGCAATTGTCAGCCCTGGTAAAGCAATGTTACTGAACATGGAGGGCCCTGAGACCTGTGGGTATAGAGCGGTATATAAATGTTAATAATAATGTGCAAAGCCGTTTCATGTACGGGGAAAGCTGATCCGTGTGCTTGGATTGAAAATTGTAATGCCTGAATAGAGCTAGAACAGGCATAGGCAAACTCGGCCCTCCATATGTTTTGAGACTACACTTCCCATCATCCCTGACCACTGGTCCTGTTAGCTAGGGATGATGGGAGTTGTAATCCCAAAACATCTGGAGGGCTGAGTTTGCCTATGCCTGGGCTAGAATGTCAGCCTAACTGATCTCACAGTTGGTTTGGATTTTAGAGCCAGGTAGGTGAATCACCTTTGCTGCACTGTGTGAGAATGTGATAAGAAGTCATAAATAGCATGTGCATTGGGTGAAGAAGGTATTAGGTTCAATCACTGGAATCTCCTGCTTAAAAAGGATTTTGGAGAAATATACTGAGCTAGATTTTCCAGTGGCTGGGTTCAGTGTAAACCAGTTTTATAGTGGTTGAAGGACAGAATAATTCTTTTGTTTTCTGTGTAATAGTAATAATTAGGTCCTTTTTATTTGGTGGAGAAAAGCTCTGTTTTAAGCTTTTTAGCATTAATAAAATATGTCTTTCTCTAGGTATCTGAAATGGCCGTCTCAGAGTTGCCTGGTAACCCCAATGCTGTATGGACAGTGAGGAGGCATGTTGAAGGTAGGAGGTCTTCTGTGATGCAAATGCAGCGGTAAATGGCACATTGAATTTCATTGTTCATCTACAAGTCACCTTTCTTGGTTCAGCTGTCTTTGCCTGGAGAGCATCTACCCGCCTCAGGATTATGACTTTCATTCTTAAACTGGAGTAAGCACAAATGTTGTGTGAAAATTGCACATACCAACTAGGAGAGAAAATCTGCCTGTGTAGGTTTTTAGGAGCCCCTCCCTGCTGAGAGCAGGAGCACTGACAGTGTTGTTGCTCCTCATGCTATGGATGCAGTGCATTCTGTTCAGTGATCTCTTGGCAGTGTTGCCTTTAAGCTCACTGCTGTGGCCTTTCTTGGTGTCTCTTAGTATATGATTATGATCTTTACCACTCATGGTGTTCCTTCAGCCCCCACCCCCGCCTTTTACTGGAATTGTCTTTGCCATACAGCCTTTGGTATCTTATGTGCTACTACACCTTCTGTGTGTTCCTGGAATCTCTGCTGGGGCAATGAACCTGGGCGGCTGTCCTAGGACAGTCTGTCTTGGGGTGTATTATTGCAATAGAACCTGACCTGTCTGTGGAAGAAGAAGAGGCCTTAATGCACAATCCTAGGCTTATGGTGGTAACATGGTTGTTTTGCTCAAAAGCTCCATGGACAGCACAATTGTGACTCTTCATACTACATCATTTGCTTAATCATGAAAGAGTATTGTGCTTTTTTGGAATTAGGGGAAGTTGTAATGCCCTTCCCTGAAGGCATGTCTGAGAAATAACCAGGTACCCCTCCTGACTTGCATTTGCCATTTGCTGAAGGCCCTTGCTCCTCACTTGTGTGTGTGTGTGTGTGTTGTTGTTTTTCTTCATATATTAATCTGTCCTCTGTGATGGAGTCAAAAGTGTGTATGGTCTTCAGACAGGACATCCGTGCTGTTCTCAGCTGTCTAGCTAGCACAGAACTTTGGAAAGCCAGGACCTGTTTTGATCAGCCTTTCTGTATTTTCAGCAGTTCAAGATTTGCTCTGAAAATGCTTTCCTGACCTGCAAGGGTTGCTTGTCATTCACATGGCTGGTGGTCAGGAAAAAAAATGCCCCTGTGAAACTTTTCCCAGACAGCAGCTGGTTTTTCATGGAGTGGAATTTAGAATCTTAGAGTTGGAAGGGACCCAAGGGCCATCTAGTCTAACCCCCTGTAATGTAGGAATCTCAGCTAAAGCATCCATGACTGATGGCCATCCAACTTGTTCCATGTGTGAAAATAAATTTATAATAAGTGGACTTCAGTGCCTCATAAATGTTTGGGTGACCCAAGTGAGTCCCAGCTCTCACGTTACAGTGTGATTGAGTAGAATACATTGGTCAGGAGGAGAGCTTTACTGGTTCAGTTTTGCGCCATGCACAAGGTTGTTTGATGCACTTAGTATTTATTAATGGCTCCCTCTAACCAGGTGTGTGCCAGTTTTCGCCATGTAATGTGTTAATGCAATGGCTTGGTGTCCAAAAAATGCTAAGCCATGGTTTCTTAAACCATGGTTGGGTTGTACCCTGCCCAGTGGCTTAACTATGGTTTGTTTACTGCCAACAAACCACAATTTGAAGCCGTGGGTTCTTGTTGGCTTTGGAACCTTGTTTAGCTTTTAATTACGGCTTGCTATTATGTATGAATCCACCACATTTCCTCAATCACTATTTCTTTGGCCATCTCACCCACCCTCCTCACTAAGCTACAAAGCTACCAAGCTACAAAGACATGTGGCAAGATCAGCTTGAAAAGAAACCAAACTTGGGAAAAGAAAGCCATGGTTTGTTTTATTATCTGTGGTACATCTTGTGCCGTATACATGGTCAAACAAACAATGACTTCACTTTGTGTGCAAACCAGGCCAGTAGTACAAAACTGACTTGGTCATAATGTGGTAATCCTGCCTGTGTCTGGCTTGTGTTTCTGAAGTTCTGCATTCTCTCATGTTACATGTGTACCATATGAACCCCTTCCAAGCAAAAACTAACCTTGGCTGGTATGTGGTCCCTGCTACTACCAATACCAAGCCTTCTTTTTTCTTCCACAGGTGGCTGGTGGTGGAGGTGCTGATCCCCTCCCACAGGTGTGTACCTACAGCCAAGGGCTGTAACTGGAGGGGGGGAGGAAGAGGCACAACATTGAGGCTCTTTTTAAATTACTTTTCTTGCAAACACCTCTGTCAACAAACTATGTAAGAAGTCAGTATTCAAGTACCACCTGAGTCCTCAGCCCTCTCCTGAGCTCCTGGGATAAGAACTGGCTTTTACAGTCCAATTGTTTTCCACATCCTTGGGGCCTTTCACAAGATAAAGTTAAGCTTCACATGCCTGTAACTGTAAGGAACTGCCATCTGTTCTTGCCCACTGGTCCTGGGCATTCCAGTATTTTAATGGGGGTGGTGAGATCAAGTTCACGTTTAGAGATGTTAAAGTCTAGATATTCATTATACCATATCCTTCTATACCCCAGAGTTTTGGGTTTAGTGACTGTTGTTCCTTACCAGAGTTCCCACTCTGGGTACAAAATGAACAATACAGGCAGCTGTCTCTGATGCGCTGTTGACATATGATGGACCTTGTCTGCTCACTCACCCTGTTGGCCTCACCTTGCTCTGTGCTGAGAAGGAGAAAAGAGGTGCTGCTTGCCTGTCTTGATTCCTCTCTGGCTTGACTTCTTTCCCCTGCCTTTCACAGGAAGTTGGTGTGGTGTTACCATTTCACTGCTGCTCACAAAATGACTTACACAACAATTTAAATACAGCATAGCTTATGCAGCAGTTAAAATCTGCTTGCAAAGAGGCATGAGATCACAGGCATATCTGCAACTTTTAAACAGTGATCTTCAAGTACTGCTGTGATCACTCCCTCCCTCACTCAAAACTTTGCTAATGCTATCTTTTATGGAGCATCCAGACACTGGGCATAAGTTTCATTGAATTTTTCCAAGAGAGTTTGGGCTCGGAAAGCCATGTATGCACTTTATTAGATCTAACACGTTACTTCTGCAACAACAAGAAAGGAATCTCAACAAAAAATAATGTATGTGAATGAATTCCCAGTGCTAATGATACTGTTAACAATCTAGTCCATGATGAACTTCTGACTTTTCGGACACTATGATTTTCCATATAATTGATTTGTTTCTTGTGTTTAAAAGGGGTAAATTGAATTGTGTAGATAAAAAGAGTGGGGGAAGCACATGAGGGGTGAAGCTTCATGGGAAGCCTGATAGTTGTCCAGGAGTGCCCCCGCCCCCAAAAGCTAGTTCTGGCAGCTGTTGGGTGCCAGCAGACTGAGGACAGTGGGGGTGCTTTGTGAATAAGGAAGCCTTGCTGCCTGTGTTGCTGAACCCTGTGCATCCATTACAGTCAAATCCAGCTTATGGCGTGGGTGAATCTGAACACCTGAGTGTCTCGATCTGGAACTGTGTTAGGAGTCTGTGGAGGACTTGGGTGGCGGTTTTAGGTTTCATTGTGACAGAGTGGAGCACATGTCATGGACTTCTGCACTGAGGTGGGAGTGAGTTCCACTCAGGTCAGCAAGTAAAAGTGTGAATGGCTTTGCTTTTGCCAGCCTTAGGGCCCTCTCATCTGTTTTGAACTATCAGCTTTCCCCCCAGCTGATGGGAGCTGCAACCCAAAACAGCTGGATAGACACCAGTTTGGTGAAGGCTATACAGTAAGCCTGAAATTTATGCGGGGTGTGTGTGTTTACATTCTGGGGATAGCACCGAAAGTCAAAATCGCATATAGTCAAAACATGTTGGAGGATATTGTGAAAGTGCCCCCCCCCCGCCAGATGCCTGCCCCCCCTTTAATTTATTTGCCAAGCACATAAAGCTGAATTCGCGCAAATTAAATATATGTAAGTTACAAGTTTACTGTATCTAGTTTCTGAAGCTGAACTAATTAGAGCCCTCCTATATGAGTTGCTCAGTTGCTTGTTCCTTTGCCTGCTGCCTCCACAGGATTGGCTGTGAGCTTGGTGGGCCAGTCCGCTGTTGGTATTTAACTCTTTAGAATGGCTGTTTTCCATATCTGAGTTCTTTGAAGCTGGTGGTCTACAGATGAAAAGAAATATACAGCCTAAGATCCTGATTTGTGTGCTGCCCCTGTAAAAGGCCAAGCTGGAGAGTGCTTAACTTGGCAAGCATAGGTGACAGGAACATGGAAGCAGCCTTGTATCTATTCAGACCATTGGGCCATTGGCTCAGTATTCTTTTTTTTTTTCTGTTAAATAAATTTTATTCATATTTGCACATATTTACAAGGAAAACATAAACAAAAAATCCACCACATACCTTATACAAATTATATCCACTTCACAAATCATAAATAAGATACATAACTAAGTTAGTCTCAACTGAACCTTGGACTTCCCTCCACTCCTTTGGTAAGTATCGAATAAGTTATATTGTCGCGTACTTTTTAACTCTTTCACATAGGCCTTTCCCGCTGTTAGAGTTTTTTCAACCCCGCCAGTGTCACCTGAGATTTAGATTCCATATACATTAAATATTTCTTCCAATTATCATGAAATTTCTGTTCGTCTTGGTCCCTTAATCTTCCTGATATTCTATCAAGCTCAGCATAATTTATCATTTTAACCTGCCAATCACTTATGTTGGGTATTACTTCTAATTTCCAATTTTGTGCTAACATAATCCTTGCAGCTGTCGTAGCATATAGAAACAAGATCTTGTCTTCTTTTTTAATTTCTTTACCAACCATTCCTAACAAAAAAGCTTCTGGCTTTTTGGGAAATGTATATTTCAAGATTTTTTTAAGTTCATTATAAACCAATTCCCAAAAGCCTCTCACTTTGCAACACCACCACATATGGTAGAGGTCACCTTCTACCTCTCTACATTTCCAGCATCTTTTTTCCTTCAACTTATAAATCTTCGCTAATTTCACTGGTGTGTGATACCACCTGTAGATCATTTTCCACAGGTTTTCCTTTAGTGCCGTGCATGCCGTAAATCTCATATT